TTTAAAACAACTTGACTGTCTGATAGTATGTATATATTCCTGCCAAATATATCATCCACTCTCAAACAGGCTGTAGCTTGTCTAACGAATTACTTAATTAATTGAATTAATTAATCATAATCTGTATTGATAATAAAATTCTCAATTTAAGAACAAATAATTTTTAACAATTTTTTATTTAATTTTTATGTGTCAATTAGTTCATCATTATCTTTATAATTATAATTACTGTAATTTCACAATAATTATCATTAGCATCATTAAATTTAATTATAAAATTAATAATTTTTGTGTTTTTTTTAATATTACAATACATAATTTTTATGTAATAGATATAAACATACATCACGTTTCATTTATTTTTAATATATTTTAATATTAAGATTTATTAATTTTTATTATATATTTATTATAATATTATAATTGATATTTGCTAATTGTATCAAGCATTTTATATATATTTTATTTTCTGTTTCATGTTTATATACTTCGCTCCTGGTATTGTAAACCATTACATTAATTTCTTTTAATTTTTTTTTATTTTTCACTATATTAATATATAATACACAAATATGTACAGTTTTATTTACACAAAACAATTAATGCATTTTTTCCATAAAATAACATATGAATGCATATATAAATATAAATTCAATAATAATAATAATAATAATAATATTCATTATTTAATTTTTTTAATCGTTAATAAAATTGTGTTGGTATGAGTTAATTTTAAACTAAATTTAAACTCTTTAGGAGTTAATAGCGTTTGGTTTTGAGCAATTTTTTTTTAACAAAAAAAAAGTGATTGACGTAAAATAAATTTTGACATTTTGCAGAGAGGTAAGTTAGAAGAAACTATACAATTAGTTATTTATTGTAATAAATTTTACTTATAGATTCCTCAGACATAATCTCGAATATCTTATTAGTTCATGTACTCGACCTCGCTGACAATAAAGGATTTCAGAATTTTGTGAATTATATTAACTAAACATCTTTTTAGATATAATAAACTTGGTTTTACCTAAAAAGACTACTATGTATGGTGAAATCACAATGAGTCTCTTTGCTGTAAGAGAACCTCTTTTATTCATATTGACACTCCACACTAACTCAACTAACCAGTACTAGCCAATAATTTATATACTACGATAAAATCTGTATATTTCTTTCTTTTGTTTAGAGGAAAAATTTTTTTTACTGAACTACAACTATTAGATATTATAATGCGCTAGAATATTTCTTATGGATGTCGATCTCAATTGCGGTAATCATGTACATGCACCAGAAGAAATAAGTTAAAAAAAAGTTGAAAATACTTAATAAACTTTTTTAAAATAATTTAAATTTCATTTAGATATTAATTTATCACTCCATATATTGCAAACAAATAAGGATGACTTTCGTACACAACTGTACTTATTCCTGTTCTGTCTCTCTCTAACTCAAAAAAAAAATATCAATTATAGCACATTGTGCACCAGAAGAACTTGCACATTCTGTATTTCACATAACGAGAACGGATTACAGTTAGATGTGCTATTTAAACTGTGAATCAAGCCTTGCTGGAGATATTGCGATACAGCTTTGGGGACGACTAATTTGTATTACATAAATACAAAAATAATACTATCCTACATACATCTACTTATATTACAGTATGCGTTCAGGTATGTAAATAATTGATTATTCCATTATTTAAACAATAAAAGAAGAAAGATGTTGATTCTGAGTACTAAATGATCAATAATATGAAGATACTCGGAACTACCAATTGTCGACAGCACTTCACTAATCGGGTTGGTTGAAGTAGGTTATTAGACACAGTCAAGGACTTTTATGATGGCCATCAAACGAGAGTACAACGAAACTGCATTATAATTAGGACTAAAACCATACGGAATTGTTAAAGACCTTTACGCAAACAATATCTTATTAATGTAGCATCATTTGTAGTAGTAAAGTTTTGCAGAATTAAGCAGTGACATCCAATATTCGTTATAGAAAAGGTTGGAACATTTCAAATTACATTAAGACTGAAAAGTTTTCGGAAATTCTCATTTAAAATTCGCGCGCTGTATATTTTTCGATATTTTAAGTTTATGTAGTTTGGCAGCACTGTCCTTAATTACTATGCCAAAAATGAGCTCGATCTGTCAGACAGTTCGTTTACGGCAGCTGTTGAAACCAGTTCACCTCAGTAGTGCGTTGCGAAATGTCTTCGACGGTCGTACGACCGTCCTGGAAGGCTTTGTACCACTCATAAACTTGAGTTTTCGATAAAACTGATTCCCCATAAGCCTTTTGTAGCATTCGCAACGATTCTGCACACGAAATTTCGTTCGAAACACAAAATTTGATGCAAACTCTTTGTTCAATATTTTTTTCCATTGTTTTTTTCGCAACGCCCTACTGAGGTGAACTGGTTTCAACAGCTGCCGTAAACGAACTGTCTGACAGATCGCGCTCATTTTTGGCATAGTAATTAAGGACAGTGCTGCCAAACTACATAAACTTAAAATATCGAAAAATATACAGCGCGCGAATTTTAAATGAGAATTTCCGAAAACTTTTCGGTCTTAATGTAGTTGGAATGAACCTTACGAAAGATAATAATATTGATACTTATAATGATAAAGACGACAAGAATACTAATGAATACCGACTGCTGTTGATAAAATAACTGGTAGACAATTTCATCTCCGAAGATGTATTGGTAATTAAGAAATGCAGGGAGAAATTTACAAAAAAAAAAATTATTGGAAAGAGCTAAAAAAAACTGTTGTTGTGAAATCGCGCAACAGACGGTACTGTGGCCAGAAGAGTCTTATTGTACTATTTGGAAAGAACTAAAATGGCAGATTTGTATCTTTTGTTTATCTAAAATCAAAATTTTATTAAATAATTGAATATTTCCAAGAACAATTAAATTTCTTTGATACATAACCACATGTGCGGAACTAACAATTTCATAAGAAGTAATTATTTATTTAATAAAATTTCACAGTTATTATATGACTATATATACCACATAGCTGATCGCGTACTGTTTATATAAAATATAATATAATTAAATTATTTTTTCTTTCACAAAATCTACGCTACATACCTGGTTAAGGCTTATATCTTTAATAAGATAATTACAAATGGATCTTTAAGATATTTAATGTGAACAAGTCTTGTATAATATGCAACTGAAATTATTATTCAGTGTCCTATATTGGTTAGATTTTTCAATATATTTTTACTTTTTCACATATTCCTTTTCGAATATGAAACTTTTGCCAAAGTCTTGCCAGTGTAGACGACGAGTTAACAGCACATTTAGGTTGTTTAATAAACAATAGAGCTTTAGACAACATTAGAGCACACTAATGGGAAAAAATATGTTAAATAATGTTTTGATACGTTGAAGAAATCAACTTATATATACTGGAATATTATTGACCGTCGCATTCGTTGTGATCGTTCATATTCAGTACTCAGAAGAAGTTTCTGAGTACCGAAAACAGTATATATTTTAGAATTAAAACGACCCGAATATGCAGATCTCTCATTATGAGAACTAATAGCTGATTTTTGTAACAGCTTGCCCTCAACAATAATACTTAGTCATGGATAGAGATCCTTTAAGAGAGAAATGCAGGTCTCTGATGTAATGTATGGAGTACACAATTGTTCGAGACTGGTGACACCGATCGTTTTTTGTCGCTAGTATGCGTTGGGCTTTACGTATGATTTGAGGTATTTGAAGTTTCAACCATTTTGAGGTTCATATTTGTTTAAAACAGAAGAAAAGAAAAAATGAAACAAAGTAGAATTGCTAAAATTTAAGTATTTCGAAGATACAAAGTGTGCGATCCAAATGTTTAAACTCTCATATATTCGATTTGGTTACGTACCAGTACTGTAATGCCTCGATATTATACTTTCCTATAACTGTGATTTCTTAGCATATGAGTGTAAAAATTATGATTTCTGCAAATATAATTCAAGCAATCAATTAGTGATTCTATACCCTACACATAACTGTAATTAACTACTATTACATATTACTCATGGTCAAATGGAAAATTATAATGCCACAAGTAGTTTAATCCAAACCTTTTATATGTTATACTGATATAAACTCTAGTGTCTGACGATATGGCATAAACTTAAAGACATATGTAAGTAATAACTGTAAACGTTAGGTAGGAACGTAAGGAATTTCTTATAGGAGGATGGTATAATGATGAGTTTCAATTCTTGGAAACATCAAAAGCAATATCTATTCATTGAAGCTGAGCTTTTCTCATATGAATGGAGTTCTGCTTAAAGGAGTTTCTGAATTAAATTAATTTTTATAATATCGCATCCTTTTTAATACATTATATACTGACATATAGTTAATTACTTAGCACATTAAAGTTTCATTTTTGGAACTAAAAACCGCTTTACTTAGAGAGTTATTTTTCTTTTACTGAAGGAAACAAATGACTACTTACTCTAATGATCAATGATTGTTTAATCCCCTTACTATTCCAAATGGCAAATCAAATCAAAATATAAAGATACCAGGTATTTTAAAGATAAAATCCTAAAAATATCTCATTAAAATATGCAAGGTCTTCTAATAGTAAATAATAAACAATATAGGTTTACGAATGATATATCATCTGAAGTTTTAAGTGAAAAGGAATCGATGCCTTCAGTTGTCTTCAACTATAGCAAAAAATATCAATTATAGCAAAAATATCAATTATAGCAAAAAATATCAATTATAGCAAAAATATCAGTTATAGAAAAAAGTTTCCATTTTTAGATAGTTTCTTTATATAAATTAAGTCGAATATGCTTTAGCGTATAAAATATTTAAAATTGAAACATAAAGTTATAATATTTATTATATTTTTTTATATTTGACATCACCGATGTTTCGAAGTTTTTTTGACTTCTACCTCAAAACTGGTTAGTGTGTTTACTAAAGCCTATTTAAATTAATTAATAAAGAAAAAAATTCCTTTTGATATTAACAGAAATTGTATTCAGCTATAATAATTAGCTTAGCACTTCATTAAAATTTTTGAAAAAGTTGTGTTTAGTAAGCAGTTAACTTGAAATCGGCTTAACAATATTATCTGGGCTAAGAGACTCAACGTTGAGAAAGTGTCGAGTTATATTAGAGTCCATTAGCTAAGGCATATTGGCTAACTTGTTATTGCATATCGCTCAATCCAGATAAAATTGACCTAGCCAAGGTAGTTGGTAAAACGCATGCATCATTATTTCGTTTATGAAGACCATAAAGACATCTAGCAGAATACCAGATATCTTATAGATAAAATGATGAATGTACATATATGACAATAAATAAAAACACATAGAATAATAATTGACCACTGGCGCCCGTTAAATGATTATGAGTTGAAATCTCATCAAATGAAGATGATCTAATCAATTATTTTGTTTAAGAAGTGATATTTCAGTTTTCTTTAAATACCCGTATTATGCGAATTAATAATTTCAATTTATTTAAAGTTATTCAATTTGTAATTGTGTTATGATTCTTCAACTTGTGGCTTCTCGTAATCAATTTGGTGGTTGTTGACGGTACCGCTGCCGGTGCTGATATTGTTGTTGCTATTACTATTGCTGCTATTACTGTTACAATTACTGTTGGTATAGTTGATAAGAGTAGTTACTGTACTGTTATTATTTGATAGTAAATAGTTTTTTGTCTGCATTTGAAAGTACTTAAAGAATATGTTCGAGTATCAGTAATGTACCCCAGGCGTTGCGGAATTTGCGTTTGATGTATTCCCTGAGTCTCCAAGCCAAGAATCGGGACTTGGCGGAAAGTCTGGATATACCTGTTCTGGGCTAGAATCATTACTTAAGTCTGATACTGCACTGCTACCATGTAAACGATGTGGCTTGGAACTATGCATATTCGAAGAGGCATTGTGATCTGTTTAGATAGTAGAGAAAAAAAAAGTAAAAATTTGTGACAATGTATGGATATATTTAAAAAAGCTTGTGAAAGCTTTTTAATATGTACATATACATATATATATATATATGCTTACCTATATTTGTATAAACTATATTGTCTGGATATGAACCAAATGAGTGATTTTGTCCGACTGGAGGTGGAGAGCGACTGGATGGGTATTGTGGTGGGCTGGAACTACCATGTAAGTACGAGCCACCTCGAATACTATGCGGTGATGCACCCTCCTCTAATCCTAAATTAACTGTACTGTAACTGTCATTACTTAAGTCTTTTATGAAAACAGGAAGATGAAACAGGAAGAAAACAATTTAAAATAAATTAATTTATTATCATAGTGTATTTTTATTTTGAATACACACCATGATGACTAAAACTATCATAGTCTACTTTCAATTCATCTTTATCAAGGAATTTTTCGGTACGAGGTGAACAGCTTCCTTTCATAGATCTGAAGTATTGACTCCATCGTGTACGTCCAGCATCCTTTTTAAGTCGTTTTTCCTTCGCTCTTCTGTAAAAATTGTTTCTATATAATTAAACTTCCTAAAAAAATATAATTTTCTTAACTTATACATTATTTATCATTAGTTGATTGAAATTTATATTTGAAATTTCTTTATTTTTTTCAATTAAAAAATGCACAAACGGACCAGACTATAATAATTTGCATTAACAAAAGTTTTTCAATAATTTAAGCACTTTATAATCACATTTCTTAGATTATTGGTATTTCGACATGATTTTGTGATAATCAGAATTCTTGAACAGATGATTTCAATGCTTTTAACATAGCTTATTTACATTGGAACTACGGAAGACTATATTGAACTAAGCCCCATTTAAGTATTTGTGTCTATAATATAATATAAGTATTTTACTAAATATAGGTATTTATTATCCTTACATTCGGTATGCCCGAATATGCTGCGTAACATCTTTGCACTTCACAGAAGCTTAAACGCGGTCTGTCCGGCAACTATGAAGCCAGTTTAATACTAAAAAATTAACTTACCTGCTGAAAACAGGCGTCGTTAGATCCGCCGTAAGTGCTGCCGTTATACTCATACCAATTTGTTATCATATTCATTCCTTTTTGGTTTGTTAAAGTGCTAAATTGCATTAAAGTCCTCGGCTTTCACGCTGCGCCCTCTTAATCTCATCCCAAGACGAAAATATGTCTAGTGATTGTGACAAAGTTGGAGGTTGCTTGTAGGTTAGTAGGCGAAATTTCCGGACAGACCAAGTTAAGCCCATTGTGTGCTTATTTTAATTAAAATTATTTGTAGCCTGGACATGTACGGGTAATGAGTTATCTTAGGCGCTCAATTTTTTGTTGCATACCCTACGTCCAAAAATTCAGAAAAAAAACGGCAATTTGCGATGAGGTCACAAATGTTTCGTTCTCTCATTTTTCTGAACTTTTAAACGAGTTCACTCACAAAAGAATTGATTTTCAATTTAATTTATATGCAACGACCTCATGAATAATTGTTTTCAATAAACTATACATTACGAGTTATTGGTGGATCTAAATTTATTTACCTGTTTTGAAACCAAACTTGCACAACTCGCATATCTAAGCCGGTATCTTGGGATAACTGCTCACGTACATGTCGGGCTGGTTTTGGGCTATTATTGTAGGCGGTTTTCAGAGTTTCTAATTGTTTAGCTGTAATCGTTGTGCGTGGTCGCTTATTCGGCTGATCACCGTCAAGAGATCCATCTAAATAAAGACCTGTAAAAGCATTTAAAATGATAATTGTTGATAAGGCTTTCAATAATACTATTGAAAATTGTTCATTGATTTTACCTTTAGCCTTAGCTTCTTCATAATCCCGTTTGCATACAAGCTTTCTATCCTCCATTAAGTAAAATTCATCACCAGTGTTCAGAGTTCTGGAGCACATCGCACACAAGAAACATTGCAGGTGATATACGTTGTCTTGTGCTCTTCGTACTACTTGCGTTGGCGGTATGCCCATATCACATGCGGAGCATTTTGTTCCATATCGTCTGTTAGACCCAAACATTGGAAGATCGAGAAAAGTTTTTATTAATCAAAAAAGTTAGCAAAATTTGACGAAAAATATGACTTTCGGAAATGAATTTTATTACTACTAAGCTATACAACTACTATTTCTCATTTCACGGAAGTACTTCCAATATTATTTCAATAACGACAGATGTCAAACAGAACTGTCACCCAACTATGATATTTTTAGTTTAGGTGTTGTAATTTGCATCTCTCAACAAACGCTGAAAATGATGAGGTTGTGAAAGTCTATTATAAAACTGATGAGGATTAAAATTTCTGAAGGGATTTCAGAAAGGATTGAACAACACATAAATAAAATTATCTTCTTAGATATTGTTGAAATACAAGATTCTTTCTATTTTCAAATTTGTATAGGCTTAGGTGAACAAAATATGTAAAGAAATTGAAACATAAAGTTATAATTTTAATTATTTTTTATTGAATCTTTCCGACGCTTCAAAATCTTTTGGACTGGTTCCTCAGTACGCAGGGTATGTGAAAATATACATACATTAGTTTATAGTGTCAGTTCTTAAAGTAACCAATACTATAAATAAGATTGTCAAATCTGGAACAGTAAAAATCAGTCACAAGTAATTGTAAAAGGACTATCCAGAAAAAGTCATTATATGGTGTGACATTTTGTCTAGAAGTGTGATTGACTTATGCAGTTTCGAACATAATAAAAATATGATGTAAACCGTTCATTTTAGATCGGTACTGGTATATAATTTCTATTTAAGATATAATAGTGGAAGATATGTACTTTCAAAAGAAAGATGGAACAAGCTGCATAACATGTCTAATTTAGGTTTTGTTGTGTAAGAAATTTATCGGACGTGTAATTTCAGGTTCTGGTGATGTGATTTGGCCTGGCTATCAAGATTATATAAAAATCCTCAAATTCTTGACCTTTTGTAAACGGACATCCATCAATTTATGACGAGGCTATGTGCCTGGTCATTATTCAACTCTTCGAATATGATCTTAAATTTATGCAGTACTGTAATATGTCTCATGAACATTTGATTGATGCTGTATTGTACATCTAATGGTTAGGTCTTAACAACAGATTGAAATAAAATTTTCATCGAGATCTACATTTTATTAGTATTTACTTTCAGAATAACAAAATGCTTTGAATTATAAACTTGTGAATGTACGCCAATTAAATTTTAATTTCAAATTATTCCATAATAAAAAAATAATTGTTAATTAATTTTAAATTCAGACACGAAATCTAGAAACCATTTTAACCATTCTAACCATTTAAGAACTCATAGGTTTGAAAAAATATTTATTAAAACTTATTAACTGATAAATAAATAATGAAATAAGAAGACATATAATAGACGCCATGTCCTATATCTCTCATTTAGAACTTAAGTTTGTTAGATAAGTAAAAATTGTAATGTTCAAATATATATATAAATTATATAATATTATATATTGATATTATAATATTATAATTATATATTGTTAATATGATAATTGATTTTTTTGGCTGCCTTGATTGTCAGACAGATTACAAAATAAATCTATAAATTGATTAAAGATTTTATGAGAAGATATATATTTTCGAATAAAAAAACTGTTAAAGCCGAAAGCACGATTAAACTTAAGTCTCTGACTGGTAGAAGATATTAGATGCACCCTCAATCATAATTTTTAGATATGATTATTTTTTTTAGGTGTAATAATTTATTTTTACAACAATGACTTCTATAGCAAAATAAAATACATTATATTAACATATGTTATGGTTAAAAATATTGTTGCATCAATAATTAAGCTTAAACATAAAACTTTGACAAATTATAAATTTGTCATCCATTTGCATAGAGACAATTTGTGTGGATGTTTATATTTCTAATTAGATAATTTTATAGTTTATTTAAATAAACAGTTGGAAATAGTACGTATTCATAGTTTGTAATTGTGCAAAAAAAATCCAAAATGTGGATTGTAAGCAACATGAGTGAAAATGAAATTATAATTATAATTCTTATTTGCTTTAACCGATAAGACGAATAAATGCCCAATTTCAGTGTTGAATAGTTGTCAATGGTGCTTTAAGTTTAATATAAATATGTACGACGAAATAATTTAATTTAATAAAGAACCTATAAATGAATTATTTACTTAATTTTGGATGATATAGTTTTTTTTACTGATTTGTTTAATTAGAATGAGTTGAGTCAAGGTCTTGTGTATATGTATACCATATTCTAACATTGTTAAATGAGTAGTGTTTTTATATTATATACATAAACGTAAACACTAAATATAATTCTTATGTGCTTTACTCGACAAGACAAAAACCTATCACACTACAACGATAAATAGTTGGCAATGCTTCTTTTATTTTGTTGTGGATAAGTAAAATAGAACCAACTTATTTTAAGGTTATGTTTGAAATTTTGGGTAGTAAAAATTTTTACTGGTTTGTCATTATTATGAACTGTGGAAAGTTTTCGAAAAATCAAATTCCTGCGGTTAATCTCTTAATGATTTAATTTCTTATTTACTGGAATGAAGTTTCCGCATTCCGTAGGAAATCTTCATTCATTCCTAAGAACTTTATTGGGTTAAAGTTTTCCAATCTCGATCTTCTGTTCTACTTTCTACCTATGGCAGAACAAAAAAAATGATTAGTTTTATTTTTAGGTTTTCATGGTGTGACAGTGTTCATCTTGTTTTTAATGATAGTGAATGACTGCAGTGATTGTAGTTTAGTAGTTAGGAAAGAATTCTTACGCTATATTTATATATAATAATACATCTGTTTTGGACACTCTTGAACAACAATTGTCAGTGGAGTTTGGAAGGATCTCTTGGTTTAATTGATCAAAGAAAATTTTTAAATTGTAGTACTCAGAAATTGAACGCTGTCAAATTTCACACGTACACATAAATTGCGTTATTTAAATTTTAAGTTGTGCCGAAAAACATGGCTCAAATATATTTTAAGAATTATAATAACTTATATAAATATATAAGAAACATATATATGGTATAAGAATAATTTCAATATAATTAGTACAGTATATATTATTATGTACGTTAAAGTAAACAATGATCTGACGAATTAGGGTAGGTTTGGTCAGGATATACCGGCGATCCCTAGTAGATCCACTTAGGCCTATTGGCCCATTGTGTTACTGGTAGAATTAATACAAATACTTGATTTAATTCCATTTTAAATTTGGTAAAAGGATTGCATGTATACGGGAACGATGGTCTTACTGCTTCTTTGACGTTCATGAGACGGTGAAGACTTTGACCGAACACCGTTGCCAAAAACCATTTGCAATTAACAAAACATCAAAAGAGATAAAAAAATTCTTTAAAACAACTGCTGTGTATTTGCGAAATACATGGATGTGACAACTGAGACTCTGAAAAACATAGTCCAACGTAATTTGATGGAAGATATGGACAAATGCGCTTCATGTCATACAGTCTAGGGGGAAAAATTAAATTAAAAAAACTGACTAGTCCAGCATTACAAATATATATTTAAAATATTGCCAGGGATTACATCATGTATGAAAGTCAGTAGGTGTCAGTAGTATCACTAGTCAGCGAAATCTTTTATAGTGAATTTATTTAGGAAGTTAAGATGGATAAGAAGTTAAGATATAAAAAAATTAAATGCTTTCATCGATGTTTGTCGGTTACAGTTTGACTAGAATATCACGAAGCAGGCAGTTGCGATTTTGTTACACGATAACGTATCATGATACAAACATATCATATAACGTATATTTTTAACCAAATGGTGCATCATTTTTCGCGATCGTCCACTGTATTCAACTTATTAGACTTTGTGTGGCTTCTGGCTATTCTTCAAATCGAAATTGACGGTGAAACGAAATTTTTGCAATATCATAATTATTCATATGCTTTGTTTTTTTTTTAAGAAGTTACATGGGATCTAGGATAGACTATATGTCTAAATTGATCTGCTTGCGGCTTCAAATAATTTTAACTTCCTTTTGAGACATATGATATATGACTTTACTTTGGCTATATAATATTAAAGGAGATGGATAGCAGAGGATAATTTAGGAACTGCCAGATATAAGTATTCATGTGTTATTTTAATTGTCTTAAGCATTTATATGACAATTAATACTGTTCCATCATTCTTTAACACCATTTCCATTAATTATGTTTAATTTACCGGGTCATAATTAACTGTAAAAATTTAAGATGTGGTGAGTTCTGGGTTTCTACATTAGTTTACCATAAAATCATCTTCACTTTTAAGAAATCACTCATTATATTGTTTATTTATTAATTATGTTGAAGCTCTTTGAGCCAGTGCACTTGAGCACTTTTACTCTTTCTTAACTCGAAGTATTTTCAGAACCCCTCTTTACGCCTTGATTGCATTATTATTTATCACTTCATCAGACTAAGCAGTAATTGCCTGTAACTATTTTGAGATTTAATAACGCGATGTTGGTAAGTCTGTCAGTTTTCGCAAATAATTTCTGGGCTTTATCCATTATGTATTTTTTGATGGGATCAATCTTGAGGTCCCTGAGATTCATAAGTAGAATATCTTTTTATGTGTTAGCTTCACAATAACTTAATTGAATCTTATTATAAAATATTGTTTTTTAAATATATTTATTTTAAGTTAGAAGGGTTTGAACAGTAATGAAGAAGCAAGAACAAAAATTTTTTCATTATTTTATTGAAATTTCGGATATTGGCACGTACTCATCATCGGTGATCTTAGAAAATATTCGAAATTTCATTCAATTAGTTTATAGTTCGTATGTAATTTGTTGGAATGTAAGAGCTTGGTTTTATAGTTATTTAAATTTGAATTGGTAGGACAATATCAATTAAATAGAGCTTCTACATAACTTAATCCAAAACTTACAAATACACCCTTTATATGGTATACTGAACTACATTTAACTACACTGAGATCTACTGAAATCCACTCAGATACAATGAACTACATCATAGAAAATTATATTATTAACAGGTGGATATATGCTAAATTTACCTTTTGAAACAGTTTAGCTTTCTGAGAGCTGCATAATATTTGCTATTCAATTTCTTCAAGTTAATTGCAAATGTCAAAAATGACTCAGTCAAGCCATTTGCTTAATTAAATATCGATGAGTTGTCATATTTCAATATTTACTTGTTTTTTGTACTCGTAATAGTTTCTTTTAAGAAATTTACTTACTTAAAAAAGTCGTCCTTGCAAAAAAGTTGACCATTACGTGAAAAACACTTGTCATTTAATTGGGTATGACACTCGCTGCATTGTAGACATTTCGCATGCCATGTTCGCTCAAGGACTTTCAATATAAATCGATCCAAAATTAGCTCGTGACATCCTCCACATTTTGGTATTGTAGCTAGAAAAGAAGAAAAATAAAAATTTAAACAAACGATAAAGCATGTAAACATATTAGAACATTATTGCTTCGATAAGATAGTTTAAATTCGATAAAACATAGAATAACGTATTGTTAAATGAATTTAAAATAAATTTTATGCGTCATGAAAATGTCTTATAATGGTTAAGAAAATAATTCATAGGAAAAAAAATTTAATTTGCACATAGTTATAATTTTTTTCAATATATGGAAGAAACACACGTTACATAATTGGAAACTCCTTGGATCCTTTCGTTATCTTTGGACATAATATTCAATATCGCTCTGTTGTGAGTTCTATGTTTATTGACTTTCTGAACCTAAGCATATGAAAGCATATAAACATATGTTATAGAACTCACTATCTAATCTAATCTAATCTAATCTAATCTAATCTAAAATAACCTAATCTAATCTAATGTCACAACAGTCACTAGCAGTATGGGGCTGTATGCAGATCTTAGATCAGTCATCGAATTATCAGCGAAGCTTGTAAGGAATACATAAATTAGGCAATGAGAAGACTCTGTAGACTCTGAAACTCTGTAAAAACCCACCAGCTAACAAAGAGTACACTTTTACTCTTTGTTAAAAAGTGCATTACCTCGAAAAATCTCAACATAAGAAGGGAATTCATTGTTTGAAATATGAGATCCATTTGTATGTTAGCCACATATTTGTTTGGAAATTGTTATCTAGACAGAAGCTTCAATTTATAATCTATTAGTCTAGAACAGCAGAGGTTGTGCGCAGATTCAAATAAATTTCGCTAAATTGAATTAGCTATTCGGCTATAAAAGAAGTAAACTAAAAATTGGATGTGTAGAACAAAATATATTTTTTAAATGAAAATAAAAAGCTGGTCTTAGAACTGAAATAATTTACTTATTTAAATATCATAGACCTCGTGCATAAATTAATATACTGAATTACTATGGTAAATAGGGCATACGATTGGTGAACTCAATAGAAAGTTTTCAAAAGAAATAGAGCAGTCCAACAATCTGAATAACATGAAACTAATTTTTTACAGATATTGAAATAAATAATTATAAAATAAAATACGTACACTTGAAAATTAAAGTTTTCCTATTTTTTAATTAAAATAAATCCATAAGAAAATATTAAAGCTTTGATTAAAAATGTTATTATCATCAGTGATTATTACCACTTATATAATAATATATATTATTATACTTATATTTGTCCATTATATTTTCTTGAGAATTACTTTTTCATACGCCTTTGGTATATAATATTTTTTTTCAATTTATTTTTAGTAGTCGGATAATATGTATTTTTCTTATCCGTTCTAATAAAATGTGATTTATTTTCATTAAGTTGCTTGTGCTAATGATGTATCAATCAATATATCCGATCGTTATTTTATCGCCATCTAAAAATTCCTTTCAAATAGAATTAAAACTGCGTTCTAAAAATTAATCCAAATATTACTGAACTATCTGAAAAGTTCACCTCATTATGAGGTGAAGTTCTCATCACTGAGAAATGTAAAGTACCATCATTTACCCTTACACTACGAATAATGTCCCACGATTGCAATATGTAGAACTTATGTTAGATCTTAAATAAGCCTAAAAAGAAAGACATTCTGTGATCTGCACAGGTGTAAAGAAAATTATTGGACGTAAATGAAACATGACATCTGGTATTTATTTAACCGTAGCAAATTTTTTAATTTTTTCTATTGTCAGTCTTCGCTTTGAATAAATTAATGTTTAATATCCGTTTATAACATTTATAAATATGACTAGTCTTAAAATTTCTTGTCCTGTGTCTATGAAAAGATAGTAGAACTACAAGACGACTGAAAAGAAATCATACATATACGATAATGGTATTGTCGTATTATTGTTAATTTCTTTTTCTTTTAACTTCGGTAAATCGTGTATACACATTATATATAAAAGAAATATAAATATAGGTAGATAGCATTTTAAATGAATAATCTTAAATAATAAGTATTAATTCTTAAGTGGAAATTAATTATTTCTGTGATGTAAATTAGGTTGTTTCTTAAATAAGGTTATAATTGTGAATCGGTAAACAATATATAAGATAGGTAACTTCATTTAAGGAAGTAGCAAAATCACTTCAATTGGAACCAAGCTTTAAAAAATAACCACCTTTGCTGATATGGCAATATAATGAGAAGACCAGAGAAACATGTGGTAAGACAGGTGTTTCATATTAAAGAACTGAAGAGAGTTTCAGGTAGACCATGCGTTAGGTTAGGTTGGAGTGGCGGCCTTGTTTCCAAAAGGCCCACTTGCGCTCAAATGATGGCATATTGTGGTACCACAGGGTAGACCATTTAAAATTATTTGATTTTTTTCCGTAAGCTCTGTCAAAGCACGTAACTACATATATTTTAGTCACACCGTAACTTTAATGTGAAAGTAGCATTTATAAAAGATATTTGAATGGTAATATAACTGTATTTATGAAAGATATTTGAAGGGTAATATTTTGGTGGGACTATGTTCTTTAAATTTCAATGTAATGATTAGCAATTTAAAATGATGCTTGTGTGATTACATATACATATATTACATATCTTTTAGGAGTTATAATAATATTGGAATAATTATTAAATATGCTTATATGATCCACAACTGTCTGATAGACAAATTGTTTAATTTTACTACCGATACAAATAAGTAAATACGAAAAATATTAGTAAGGGAAAATAAACAAATATTTTTCTGAAAAAATGAAGTCATGAAATCTATTACGATTTAATACTGCAAATCCTACCATATAAAAGTGTATTATTAAACGAAAATAATGAAATTGTCCTGTTCTTTGAACAATCTCGTCTCAGCCGAGCTATAAAAAAGTCATTTTTAACCACACATACATTCATTAGATCTTAGAAAAACCAGATAAAGCTAAGAATGTAAAATACTGCACGATCATTTAGCCGTGAGAAAGGTTTGTTCTTGTTGGGTCCCACATCATTCGATAAAATCTCAAAAAGATGCTCGTGCCGATTGGTGCACACAAATGCTCAAGAAGTACAATGACGGTGCATCAAAAGACGTATATAACGCTTCAAATTTGTGGAAATTTATTTTGAAAAAAATAAATCTGCTCACGAACTTTATTCAGTGATGAAGTTCATTTCTGGTTAAATGGCTATGTCAATAAACAAAATTACTATGTATGGAGCGAAGATAATTCTCAAGCTGTTAACATATCACCATTACATCTATTAAAATTGACTGTTTGGTGCGGTTTACACGCTGGCGACATTATTGGTCCATATTTCTTTTGAAATGATGAAGGAGCTGCCGCTGCCGTTTCGGTGAATGGCGAGTGCTATTTATTTTCAAAAGTTATTCAGTTAAAAATCGGCGACATTTGCTTCCAAGAAGACGTCGCGGCGCATCTTGCCAGACAGAGCGCTTAACAATCGATTTATTACGAAATCAATTTAGTCACAATTTTATTTTCAGAAATGATCCTGTTAAATGACACTTTCGTTCGTGCGATTTAATGCCTCCTGATTACTTTTTATGGGTATGGGTCTATGTTAAGTCATTGGTTTATGCCGACAATCGACAAACCAGCAATTCTTGTTGCATTGGAAGCCAATGTTCGTGCCACCATTAAAGCCACACGGCATTAAAGCCACTGATCGAAAGGTTCATGTAATTCGTAATTATTTTCCAGATTATTATATAAAAAAATTTTATTCCAACAATATTTCCGTCTTGTGTTATCATTTTAAGTTCTCATGCAGCTAAAAATACACCAGTAACAACGGACAGTTCGAAAAATGAAGAGTTAAGATAAATTTTTATCGAAAGCTGTCAGTATAGCTCATATGAAGAGATATCTCAAACACCAGCTACTACAGTTGATTATATGGTATATGTTATACTGGAAGGAAAGCATGGTATCGGAAATATTTAACTGAAGAACAGAATACAGAGTGTTGGCAAACTTTCGGATGGGACATGGAGCAGACAGTAATACGCAGAAAAATAAAAATTTTATATTTTAAAATACTTTTTATATATTTAAATTGTAATTTAATTAATGATTATTTTATATGTCCAATATTCGTAATCGGTTAAATACTGCCTGAATAATTATGTTAAAGAAGTCTTAATGTGATACCAGTTGAGGTAAGCTTTAACTGTATTAATGGATATATTCCTTTTCAGCTCTAATATTCTTAATTCAAAGCTTTTATAGTCATTCTTTATAAAGGGTTTATCCAGATTTTCGAAGTAAGCCTCGGTAAATAATTTCCTTGAATCTTGAATCCTTAAAAATTTGATTTGGAATTTAATTTAGTTTTTTTTTAAGTTAAAAATAATGGAACTGAGATAAGTAATCCTATTTGAGTTTATAGACAGGGTTTACAGTACATATCTAAAATAATTTGATATTCAATATGACGAAACTAAGCAAAAGAGAAATACTTTTTGATTCGAAGGTAAAGGAGATTATCCATTTCATATTATTGGTTTGGAAATGCTGTTTTGGTGGCATATATCAACCAAAACTGTCATCCAAGGCACCAAATGATTAGTTAAAGATTTAAGAATTTATAAAAATTTTCACAAAAATATTAAAGAGTTTTTGCATCGAACCTTATTTTTCGCTTGGCATTATTATATTATTATTAATTATTTGTATTATTTGGATATATTTATATCACCAATCAAATATATAAGATTGTTGCTTCTGGCGTAGTACATAAAAGAACAAATAACTTTCGAAAGACCATTGCATCCACAAAAAATCACTGAAAGTTATTGTGTGCCATTTCGTCTGTGATAGGTCCATATTTTTTTCTTGAAAAGGTCAAATGTGTGACAAAAACTGTCAATTCTGAACAGTATTAGAACATGATTTCCAATTTTGTTTTTTAACGTAAAATTAAAGATATATAGTCTCAACAAGACAGTACCACAACCTACCAAGATCATGTGTCTTATCATTGC